CTATGTCGCTGCAGCTATGCTGCCCATCTACGAAAGACTGTCACAAAAGTCGCTTCTTCAGCGCTGCCTGGGAGTGAAGACGCAAAATGCATCAGAATCATTCCACTCCATTCTGTGGTCTCTGATGCCGAAGGAACAACACTCATCCTTGATCGCGGTAGAAACAGCACTGCATGAAGCAGGGCTGCGCTACAATGCCGGCTGCTGCAAAGCAACCCAAGTGATATCGGACTCCATTGGACTTCAACCAGGTCATCTGGCCATCCAGCGAGCTCGTGAAAAAGACGCTTTACGCCTAAAAAAGAATTCTAAAAGACACCAAGAGAAGATGGAGGCCAGGCAAAAGAAGAAAAGAGTGCGCCAGGACACTTCTAGCTACTGTGCTGGAGCTTTTTGAAGAAAACACGTGTTTTGAACTTTCTCGGCCTGTTTTCTCAGAACGGATTTTTTTGCTAGTTGTGGTGCTGAGGAAAGCAAGAACTCGAAAACCGTTCATCAGATTTGTGTGCCGTTTTTTTTATTCTGTTCCTGAATGACCTTGCAAGGGCGTAACAAGCTCCTTTTTTTGAAAATTGGTGCTGTTAATTTATAATAAACAATTAATTTTTGATGAATCTGGTCATTACTGGTTACATCAAATTCAAAGTTGCGTGAAAATTTTTTTTTGGGGGGGGGGGAATTAAAAAAAACGGCTTTGTAGCGCCCTGGGATAGCTATCAAGGAATGACCACAATGAATTTCAGCTTTCTACTATGTCCTGGGATTTCTCACGACTCTTCCTCAGGCACCCATGCGAAGCACCCAGTTAAACCTCAATAACTCTGGAACTAAGAAACACAGCTTCGTGAAACTTAGCAGTTGTGCTAGTTTTATTGTAGTGAACAACCCCTGAAAGTTTCATCCAGATATCTTAAAAAATAAAAAAGTTCGGTCTCCAGGGTAGCCTCCCCCCTTAAGTTGAGTCATCCACGTGTACAAAAAGCAAGATAGTTACATTTACAGTTGTGCAGCTTCATATTTATACGGCATGTAGTGATATCAAAATAAAAGTATAAAGAACTAGGTTCGTTGATTGTAAGGTGTAAGTGGTCACATGTCAATACAAGTTTATTGATGTACATATTTCTGCATTTGCAGTGCTGAAATCATTTTTCATTTTGCCAAAAAGATCGCCCATAAATTGAGTAAACTGAGTATTTCTGATAATAACGTACAGAAAATACTTTTCAACAATATCCTTAGCCAGCAACATCAAAATTATTCACAGCACTATTCATGTAATATTGGTAGTAATACTAACAATGGTACTATCACTTGCACTATCGATAATACTATTGATATTTTATTGATAGCGGTACTATCGATAAATGATATGCCCTATCGATAGTCTAAAATAAACTGTCGGTGTCACCAATAGCCAATTTACTATTAGTATTGCATCACTCTCAGTGCCATGCCTCACATAAACCGTCGTGCCGCAATTCTTAACAAGTGTCTTTGAACCTGAGTGCATGGTTGTGTTTACGCCTGTGTATCTCGTTCCCTACTTATTTCGGTGCTATTTATTGTACTTCAACACTACAAAAAGTTATAGAAGTGAGCGATGTGGAATTCTCTCTTCATCAATGCAGGCAGTACGTGCAAACTGCTCTTTCCCATTAACAGCAAGGAGTTCGTGGACACAGCCTGAGACCTGTGCCCAACCGATATAGGGAACGACAACGTGATCTAGGTAGTAGCGCAACCTTAAAGAGCTCGACAACAACTTGCAGTGTGTTTTACACATCCGCGCACATAAAAAAAAATGCACACCAAAACAAACATGCAGTGTTACCAGCGCTCCTGTCAACATGACTGCCAACATGGATGCAGGTACACGTTTGTTTAATAAAAGCCCAAACTTTTTTTTTTATGTGATTAAATTACAGTTGTCATAATCACACGTACGAATGAAAATGAATCAACCGGCCCAGCTTTATCACGCTTTCCAGAATGATTAGGCGCGAAACCATGCATGCAGACGTCGGTTCCGCAGCGCCTAATGGACCTCTTGCGGCTTCTGTCCAAAGCTCGTGAAATCGACGTGCGAAACGGGCACAACCGCATCTCTGTCGAAATCCCTAACAGAGTTTTACATTGATGGAGTTCAACAAAGCTCGGCAATGGCCGTGTGACAGGGGTATTACTTTTTGCAATTTTCGTGCACTAGTGGCAAGGAAGAGACCACAATACTGATCTAATGGTAAACTAAGCATTATTGTTGCCTAAAGTTCCTTTATATCCATTCTGGCTGAAATACTTGGCTACGCAAAGACAGCAAGTATCGTGTTTAACGAGCCGTTATAAATGTGGGGCATTTCAACATAAATTCTTTGTTTTTGCCCTTTTAAGGATGCTAGCTTCCAGCAGACAACTATAGCATGCAATTTGAGTGGGTTGTTCGATTCAGTTTACAAGGAAACATGAAAGAACTGGTTTTACAGTCACCACATGATTATTTGCCTTGTAACTACAATTCAATGCTGCAATGGGCACTCTAATTTATTTGGTCCGAAAATTCACTCAACTCCCGAAATTCACATAATTTGATGCGCTGTCTCAAAAACAGCACATCAAATTATGTTACTTTTCCACATTTAATGACAGTCAATCATAACGCTTGTTGCAAAGAGTTAAGAAACAAGTGCACCCAAGCAAAGGGGAAAGCAAGAGTGCACCTGAAGTGGGTGCTGCACGATGGTTAAGGTTAGCCCAAGGAGCACACTCGTGTAGGCACTGCGTACCGACGTGTATAGCAGACGAACGAGTAAGCAGACAGCACCGCTCATACTGAAAGTGATCAGAAGTGGGTGAAACGTTCGGAGGAACCACGATTGCCAGTAGCTTCATGCATGCTCCGTTTCCTTGTGCCTGGTGTTGGCGGCAGTCACATTACCTCGTAGTTTTGGAGACGCGCTGAAGTGCGGGGGGCAACGTGGTGCGACTTTTTTCTTTCCCTTAACAGTTTATGTGCACGAGAAATTTCGTTGGAAATCACTGCTAGGTGGTTTTTAAATTACTAACCTGCAAAAGGTGCAATCCTTTTTTTTTTTTATTGCCTAAGGCATCGTTGCCACTGCTCGGACCCAATGTGGTGGCAAGCTTACTTATAAACTCAAGTTCAGTGATTTACCATCAAGGTTCCGCGGTAGTGCAGACACACACATGTATTTGCCTGGATATATCGCCAAGATCAGGCACTACCGTATAAACCGGAATATAAGTCGAGATATTTTCAATAAAGCGAGCTAAAGTCGCCCCTCGTCTTATATAGCGGTGTCTAGCCGACAGTGCACCGTTGTCTGGCAACATGTGGCTTGCATGTGCATGAGAAGCTGGGCACGGCCATATTCGCATTCAAATCCAATAGCAGGTTTTTTTTTTCTCTCTCTCTCGTCTGTTTTTTGTGTTCGTGATTTGCCTCCGATCTGTTCTAAGTTCTCCCTCCACTTGACATTGTGTTTCATTTTTAGTTGTCTTATTTTCGTTCATTGAATATGAGTAGCAGTACAAGAAGGCAGTACTCAGCTGCGTTTAAACTAGAGGTTGTTGAGTTTGGAGAAGCGGATGGGAATGTGGCTGCTCAGCGCCGCTTTGGTGTATCAGAAAAAAGCGTGGGCTAATGGAGGGTGCAGAAAGGGAAACTGCAGATGTGCAATCCTCAGAAAATGTCATTTCGCGGGCGAAGTGCGGTTCATCCGTAGCTGGAGGATCCGCTAGGAAACTTTGTGTGGGAAGTTTATGCGTGCTCGCTGCCAGTGACCGTGGATACCATTCGCAAGAAAGCTGTGGAACTCGCTCGAGAAGCTGGGCTCACGAGAGAAGAGTTTCGTGCACCAAACTCTTGGGTGCATAGATTCATGAGATGCAAGGAATTTTCTTTCCGGTGGCACACATCCACCTGTCAAAAGTTTCCAGACGAACTCGAGGACAAGCTTGTAAACTTTCAAGGCTTCGTGAACCGGCTTCGGGAGCAGAACAACTGCATGATGGGGCAGATTGACAGTGTGAATGAGACCCCCATGTGGTTTGACATGCCTTCATCGACCATGATCATGCAGCGTGGCGCCAAGGATAAGAAGCTGTTCTCCACTGGCAACGAGCACTCGCACTTCACAGTTATGCTGGCATGCATGGCAGATGGTAGAAAGCTTCCGTCCTTAAACGCAAGACAATGCCGAAGAAAGTGCTCCCGCCCGGTGTTGTCGTTCGCGTCAACAAAAAAGAGATACGTGGACGAGGCCATGATGCTCGAATGGATACGAGTAGTCTGGAACCGTCAGCCAGGTGCACTGCTGCGTCTTCTCAGCATGCTGGTGTTAGATGCGTTTTGTGGTCACTTAACCGACGCTGTGAAGCATGCACTGAGCAATGTAAAAACGGACCTCGCCGTGATACCAGGTGGTATGACATCCACCCTCCAACCGATCGACGTTGTGCTAAACAAGCCGTTCAAGGACTGAGTGTGGCTGGAGTACCAAAAGTAGATGTCCGGTGACAACCCAAAGACACCGACGGGCCGCCTACCGTTTGCCTCCGCTTGCGACTGTTTGTGGCTGGGTGCTTTCAGCCTGGCGTTCCTTGCCAGATTCCATGGTGGAGAATGCTTTTAAGAAATGTTCCATCAGCAACTCGCTGTATGGCACGGAAGACAACGCACTGTGGGAGGCGGCCAGCGACAAACTCTCGTCTTCAGAAAACAATGGTGCTTCGTCTGACGAATAGGAACAGTTGCGATGGTGGTTGAGGGGAGCTCCAACGATCGAGGTGCGGTGCGCCCAATTCGCAAATAAGTGACGTTCATTTTCGGGTTGTTTTCCTTCTTTCTCTTTTTCGGTAACCTGAACTTGGGAGTCAACCTATATTCCCACTCGGACTTATAGTCCGGTTTATATGGTAATCTTCAATCTTAGGCTGCACCATAAAGCACTATAAAATGGGAAGGAACGAGTACTAGTAACCTTTAGGACAAAGTCAGGCGGCGTCCCTGGCTTGACCATTTGCCTGATGACGCCATCATGATGAGAGTGAATCAGCGTTTCATCCAAGTCGAGGACTAGTATCTTCCGTTTCACCAAGCCTGTGAAAACTGAAGCAAGGCACAATGTCAGATGCTAATCGAGGCTTGCAACTCGGGCTTTTGGTTTGAAAAGCCAGTAGACCACTCACAAAAGCTATAGCAGACGTACCGACCATTCCCACATATCCTACATAAATAAAGAAAAAAAAACTAGCATCCTACAGAGAACTATTTCACACACACTTCACAGTGAGCAATTTATTTTATGGTATCTGAAGCACCGTTCTGACAGTTGAATGTTAAAATATTTGTGCTCTAGTACAGGTGTCCAGAACTGCAAAAATTTCTGAAGCCAGCCAATTTTTTTTCGGTTTTCCTCCTCTGTAGCTTCTGCTCTTTTTGTCTTTTTTTTTTTTTTAAATCCACAACAAGTATCTTTACAGTACTACTTAAAAAATGTTTACAGTCCTAATTAATGAATGGGGTGAGCGCCATGATACAGCATTGAAAGTGAAAGGAAACAAAAAATTTGAGACAACCCTGATCCCTGACTTAGTGTATAGCAGCGGAACTCGTCACATCGGTGTCAGCGTGCACTGGCGCACTCCTTGCGTTAATGGTGTGTTTCACAGTGCTGCTCGAAAGGGATGTCGAAGGCCATGTAGAAAACAATACACTGTAGAGATTTGCTCCCCCAGATGCCGCAGGGATCCCGGACAGTCGCAAGAAAAACCGTTCCACTCTTTCAATGAAATTTTTCTATTTTTTTATGAATTATTCTGACAGATAATTGTTCCTCTTCATAAGAAAACTTGCACTTCCAATATCATACGTATATCATATCGATCAGAACCATCGATTTCATGCCAGTCTTATTTTTGAGAAGACTTTTCCTGAATACTTGGTAAACTGGAAGTAAGTTTACCACCGGAAGTGCTTGGAAGAGAAAAGTTTATCTATGCTTAAATCCTTTGTTGCATGCACACACTCTCTCTGAAATGCACTTCACCATATGCCTAGATTGCCAGTGACATACACATATACACATACACACAAAAAGAAAAAGACTGTTTACGTAACTCATTACAGTACACAAAAAGAAGCCTACGCAAAGCAGCTTAAAAGTGAAGAAGGCCTTCGAAAGGCGCACACATTACTCACTTAGCCTATGCTTGGACAGTGGAGAGAGGGGTAGAACGTCATACTTGATTGTCTGGTGTTGTATGACCTGAAATGAAGGAACGCGGGACGTCCAGTTAGACACACCGTCAAACCAAAGCGTTCATCGCTACAACGAGCACTTGCCTTAAGCTTTAAGCACAGTTTTTTCATTGTCATCGCACGAGGTTTCTTTATTTTGCAAGTTAGTTATGAGCTAGCATACTTGAATACTTTTGTAAGATCGCTCATTTGGATCCACGGAAATGAAAACAGAGCCCACCTGAGAGCAATCGAGCTGCTCAACACAGTAATTTGCTCAAGGCTGCCAACTCTAATTATTTTTCATTCTTTTCTCGGATAACACAAAAGCTTTAATGTTTCAAACTATCATCGCAACGATAAAAGACGCAGGATGCTCATCACTTGAAAGACAACAAAGGCAAAAGAACTACAATGGCGAGGAATTAAAACATGCTTCTGCATGAGCTGACTGATTTTAATAAATCTCAAATAGCATTTTTCTTTATTTGTTACATACTTTTTTGTATGTTGACTTTTTTTTAATCCAATGGTCTTGCTGTAGACAATACTTTTTTTCGATTAACAGTACCACGTCTTATTCCGTCAGAGATGACTGTCTCATATGAGAGAAAGCAAAACACAGTTTCACACAAGAGGATTGCAAGAAAGGGTTGAAGCAGTAGCTCTTCAAAAAAACATCCCGCCAAGCTGCTCCAAAGCGAAGCACCAACTTTTGCCACAGCGACAGTGGAGGTCAATTTTTCCGAGTTCAGCTCTTAGGCACCAGTTCCTGCATTGAGCTGTTGTTGTCTGGCATAAGCGGTGTAACCGATACAGTGAAGAGAATGAAAAAGAGCATGCGCGAAGTCTGTCCATATTGCAAGCCCCTAGCCTCAAACCTTGCTTTCTTCCTTCATGACACGCGCAGGCCCCTCGGTCGAAGCTCATGCACATGCAAGACTGGCACTTGCACTGCGGCTGGCTTTGCTTGTTGTAATGGGGCTGTCAGCATTTCATCTGGTTTGTAGTATGCGAGCACTGCACACGTTTCGCTTAGTTTGCGGCAGCTGCGATGCACAGGGTGGTGTGCACAGCACTCTAATGCTGGGGACTTCTGTGGAAATATGTAAAGAATGTTATGTTGCTACACCTTTGGACAGCCAGAACTTCTAAGTTGGCGTTGCCCCAACACGAAGCAGCGCTTATGATTTGCACTAGGCAGTATGATAGCCGTCAGTGAATGTTTCTTGAGGAAAAAACATTACACGTCCGGGAAGACAACATTGTAACAGGAAGAAAAAACTAAACACTGACCGAATTGGGTGTAGTCGAAAACTAAAGTTTCGGCTTCCACGTGGTAGCCTTGTCCTTGTCTACCGACTTGCATCACAGAAAGAAAATTAACACCGACAAAATGGATGCAGTTAGGCAAGAAATTAGGAGTTTTATAAAATCTCGTCTGATCAGGAAGTAACATGCTGGGTTTGTGTGAGGCTACACTCTGAACAGAACACGCATTATCGATAAGGGGGTTCACTCTTATCAGCTGCACAGACAATTCGGCATCTTATCAGCAAGTGACTTGCACATCAACCAGGCAATGGTGTCGGATAAGGCGGCAGGCAAAGCAAAGCAGGACACCGCATGTGCGTCAGCATGCTATTGTGAGGGTTTATCTGCAAGGACAGGTGAAGCAACGACCTTACGACCCTACTTAACGCGCCTTGTGCAAGTATGAGCCAAAATGTATTGCCAAAATGTTCTTTCCTAGATTCATGCCATTTTAAAGAAAACAAAAGAGCACTGAAAACTATCGTTAGTGCAACCGCCCCCACACTAACTAAACATGCACCAAAGTATAGGTGGCCATCCCTGGTTACCCTATAGTTGGTCCTGTTCTGGGCCACTGAATTAGATCCAGTCTCTAGAACAGTACTCATCACACACAGTCACTTAAGCCTCCGATGAATACAAGGCAATTTTTCCTGTATCGGTATCACCAGTATTATCCTGATGATATAAACACAGTGCTTATTTATGACCACGCTGCAAATACAGCACTCCACACAATGCTTAAACCATGCAATCTCACTTTCTTCCCATTTATCTTAACTACGATAGCTACACAAAGTTTCCTTTCTATTCAGTGTTGCAACCAATGCATATCCTGACACCATGTTTCCAACAGGGTAGGTAGCATAGAAGTTCAGGAGACGATTTTGGCTTAAAGCAATGAAAATCACCCAAGATGAAAAATCACCCAAGAGGGAATATTGCTTAATCTAGCATTACAACCAGAGTGCTTGCTTGCCTATACGACAGCAGCCGCAGGTCGCGCGTTAAAGAACCCCAGGTGGTCGAAATTTCCGGAGCCCTCCACTGCGCCATCTTTCATATTTATATGGAGGTTTTAGTACGTTAAACCCCACATATCAATCAATTGCCTTCCTTGACAATGACAAGCACGCTTGTTAGAGCAGTGGCCTCAGTAAAATTGGCTATTCTACAACTTTTTAAAGAAATTATCATCATCATTTTCACATCACATTTGTTGCTGTCAGCGGGAGTGTAAGAGGAAAAAAACAAAAGGCTTTGCATATCCAGAATTGCACTTTTTTTTTTTTTTTCCTCTTGTGCAAGCCATTGACAACATTTTTTCACTATAGATCCAATGTTTCTAAAGTTGCTTAATGTCAGTCTAACGAAACTTTTCAATAACATTTTTATTTTAATCAATAAGTAAAGTCCTCTGCCAGAAGTAACACAACACCGTTGCGAGAAGTGCTTGACATTATTCTCACTATAATTAGCACACAAGGCTGCTTGTCCAGGTTTGTTTCAAAAAGGCTACGCATTTGTCCACTCCAATGCATATGGCACTCTAGTCTAGAGGTGATCTGGAGCGGTGGCTCAAGCAATCCCGCGCCAAGAAATTCTCGTCAGAGCCTACCAACTTCGCTGTTCATATCGATGCTTTTCATTCTTTCATAAATGGTTGAGAGACACAGAAGCATACCCCTTTATGTGACCTAATGAAAATATACACTGAAAAATGAAATGCTGCTAGTGTTAGTAGTGTGAGAGTGCAGCAAGCAACAAAACATTAGGACAGGAAATGAATGTGACAGCGTCGTCGACTCTGGCATGAACACTTGCGACACCAAACCGAAATAGCAGTTAAAGCAAAAAACAGACGTCAACAGAACTTTGTCCAGTACACTCAGATAGCCTTGTTCTACGATAAAAAAAACGTAGAGATAAAATATAATGAAACGAAACATGTCCAGCGCACTGCACGAAAACCAAGTCACGTCGTGTCACATTCTGCTTTGTACCCCACACACACAGAGCCTCAGTTTCGCAACACAAGGAAGGAAAGGGCTCCACGCATTTCAGGGGTGCATCAGAACGGCTGCTGCACAGCTGCGAGGGACAAACACAGGCCACCCGTGACAGCTGTTCAGTGACAGGACGTAAACAGCCTATAGAGACAGCAGGATAAATTTTTCTAGTTTCATATTAGCCGCATCAATGACGTAGTAGGAGAGTTGACGAGACAGACCGAAGACACAGTTAGGATGAACCATGACAACACGACTAGGCACCGGAACAAAAAAAAACAAGCTTAAAAGGCCGACTATGTTATAAGCATTCCTGTGCAGCGATCTCAATACAGACTCTTCAATAAAAGTAGGATGCTGGCATGTGATCACTGCAAACTAGCAGAGTGACTATGAAAGAGTGGCAACTTTCTAACTGCATGTGGCATGAAACACTGAGTGCAGCACAAGGAACTTCTGTTTCAACTGCCCTTTCTCTGCATTAAGGCATGGTCAGATTGAAATCCAAAACAGGGACACACGCCACCACCAGGAGATGACGTCACTGCTAACCCGCTTAAAACTAACACGCGAAGGATGACAAAATGCTTTTAACAAAGAAAGTTAGGTCCTCCTATCGAAACGTCGGCCGACCTGCCTGAGGCACTTCCACTGTTCACTCTTATTACTCCATGGTCAGATTGAGCAAGAGCCTTCCAAAAAACATTGAATTGTAGGACCATCTTAGGTTATTCTGAGCTTCAACTTTGCTAGGCACAGGTGCGAGACAGCTACACGCTCTCAATGGACTATGAAAGAGTGGCAGTGCACCAACACCCGTAACAAACAAGGAAAGAGTGGCAACTCACCAACTGTATGTTGCCAAATTATTCAATGCAACACACAGGGCTTTCTCTTTCGACCATTTTCTGTTCACATGACAACATGGGAAGATTATGAAAGATCCTTGCTAGAATCATTGAAGCATATGATCGCCCTAAGCCTTCCCGAGCTTCAACTTCACTAGGCGGAGGTTAAAGAGCTACAAACTCTGAACATGTGTTATAAACTAAAAGACACTAAACAAGCTTTTCTCTTTTTTGATTTACACTTCCAACGGCGAAGGGACCAACGCCTGAGCACTGCCCCGTACTCTGCAAGATCATGAGCACTTCACTGCAGGACCAATGAAGCGCATTTGAGTAACCCATTTTCACAATTATCTAGATGAGAAAAATCAAGTGCGCGAGTCTTCAAAATGACTTTTTAATTGAACAAGAACAATCCTCCGAGGCTATGCTGGAGCAGGCAGGTACCAAGAAAAGGCAAAGTGAAATTGCCTGCCATTGTTCCACTATTTCAACAACTCCCAGTTAACAATGGATTTCGCAATTGCCCAATTAAAGCAAGCCATTCGAATAACCTGAACTGAATTTCAGTTACCTTAGAAACGTTTTTTTTTTTTTTAGCACCAGATTTACAAGCCTGCAGCAAAATCAGAAGCGATTAAAGTCACAAATTCATCATACGTGATTCACGAGGGTCGTGCAAAACAAACACAAGCGAGCGCAGCTGCTTGACAACCCTCGGTTGATTCTACTAGTGCTTCTCAAGTACATGACATTGAATCGGTTGTAGGGATTAAAAACGGCGATACCACGCTTTCTCACAACCACTTGGCAACACCACACGAACGAGAAGCTCGCCTGTTCACATCTGGCCAAGCATTGCGAATATCGAGCGCAATTCCAAAACCTTAAAATTCGACGTTCAACGTTTCTTTTCCTGCTAGGTCAGTACAGACCCATCAATCCCGTATAAACCCAAGCATTAATGGAGCCGCAATAAAGCGTCCATATCAGTGGGTTGCCATTACTTCGAGCGTGGAGCAACTTCCGTAGTTGCGTGCAGCGAATGAACTCTTTCAGTGCGAGCGTCCGCGCGATAGAAAGAAACGAAAGCGAATTGGACGCGAAATACCAGACCACTAACCAGTTGTGGGAAAAGAAATGTGCGACACAGCCCATACTCTAGGCGTCACAGCCGATCGGTGGCACTTTTGGGACCCGAAATCAATGGCAAGGACACCGCGGTACATCAAAGGAAAGAAAGAAAAGCGCAAGGGTTTCTTTCTTCATTTTGTTATTTATTTTGCCGGCGCGGGGCTTGGACGTTTTTCGAGACTCGCGACAAAGCACATGGAAATGAACGGCAGGCTGGACAGACTTAACAAGTTTATGTATGCGCGAGAAAGGTGGGCTTCTCGCCGCGGCAGCTGATGGTAGAGTCGGAAAAGGCCATGCACAGAAATCCACCGTCTCTCCCAAGAGAGGTATCGCCGCGACACAAAGGTTGCTTTGCGACCTTGCGTCAACAGGTCGATTAACGCTCAAATCACTCCCTAGCGCAAGCTGCTAACACGGTAAGCACGGAAGCCAGCAATACCAGCTGGCGACGTTTGAATGAATAAATTCGTTGGGCAAGCTCTCCAACAGTACTCACCGCTCGAACCTGTTTTCTAACAACATAACATACAAAACTCCATATTTTCGAAGCCAGTAGGAGGAAGGCGCGAAGTCCCATTTGCAACTGCTTCAACATTGGTAGACGTTTGACGAAGCACCCACGAAATGCACAAATTAAAAAATATATATAGTGTACGACTATCCGAAACTTTAATTTACTTTTAGCGGAACCTCCAAATCTCACGGTTCGAGGCCGCCATGATACCGACCACGAGACGCGTCGACTGCGCATATGTCTGCGCACAGCTACCGCAGCCCTGCCCAGCGGCGGAAAGCGAAAGTAGCGAAAGCCCGCTCATGACCTACTACACTCCTGACCTGTTCAGATAGCGGGGTTCCTATGGGAGCGCGTGTCCCCGCTCTCGTTCAATCGCTCGCCGTAGGTGGCGCTACCTATAACCTGTTCGTCTGCTTCTTTACGGTTGTTTTGTAGGCGCTGGTATAAGAATGCCTGCTTTCTGTGGTGAACTGTCGGCATATATGTGACTATTTCTTCCCATACATTGCTGGTCAAGTAAGCTGTTCAGTGCGCTTAAGAATTTATAGCACACTGGTTGACAAACGTGGAAACCCGTGGATTTACATGATTTTGGACAGCCTATGCGTTGTCGCGTGCATTTTATTGCAAAAAAAATTCTGAATGTCTTTTAGTATTATTATTTCTGGATATTTCTAAATTGTGGATCATAAATTCGCACTACGAGTGCTTTGTTGGTTAAAATTTGACTACAAAGAGTGAAGGTGACGTCAGCGAACAGGTGCTGCCTAGCGCCACGCCGCTCGTAGGTGACGGCCCTAGCGGCAGAAGGTATGAACTAGAACGTGGGCGCTGGAAGAGGTGCTCTCTGGGCAGGTCAGGAGTGTAGTAGGTCATGAGCCCGCTTTCGCGAGACTTTCGCTCTTCGGAGAAATGATTCAAAAGTGAACATTTTTAGCGTGACCAAGCGCTTCGTCCTGGGAACCTGTGCGCACATCTTGGCGTTTTTTTTTAGTTTATTTCGTAAGCCGCTTGAATTTGTTTTCGTGTTCCCTGCCCGCCCACGACAAAATCTTTAAATAACCGCGCTCACCGCGCAATGCCCTGGCACGCGCTAAGACGGGCTCACCTTAATTTTAAAAGAAAATAAGACAATGAAAAACTTGTTGCAGCGCCAAAAAAGCCACTCCCACTCGTTGAACTCTGCGTTGTAGATTCTTTTGGCCGCCTTTTCTGATAGCTCGACAATGCCAGCTGTTGCCTCCCCAACCTGCGACCTCCTCTGTGCGCCCTTCCGAAACTTGCGTTCATATACTTGGCAGAGCAAGTTCATTCATGCCCTTTCTCTCTCTTCCTCTCTCTCTCATTCATATAGAATGTAGAACCAAAGCACATAACCAACAAGCTGCAGGCGCCACACGCTGACATGAACCACACACGAGACTTCTTCGGATAATTAGATCTCATCAGAGTTTTCTTCTCTCTTTATTTTATCTTTTAGGGGTGGAGCTTACGGACTCGGTTTGTCGGCGTGTCATGTTGTCGTCATGGTCCATCATTAACGAATAAGATTCTTATCTAAATAAAACTAGAAACACAAACGCCCATCTCTACGGTGAAGTCATCTACTTGAACACAACTTCTTGAAACATCTGCAAAGTGATGGTGCGTAGATATAGGGGGACCTGTGGCGGGTAAAATAGTAAATAGTAAAATTTTTGCTGGGGGAAACACCAACGCACACTGAAAGCATTGCTCCTTCCTAGGTTTCACGCTAGCACAGCTGAAACAACCTTCCCTGCATGTCCCCTTTTAGTATATTGCCTTTTAGCTTACCGTCAAACGTCTTCGCCTTGCAAGAGTAGCGCTATTGTTATTCGTTCATCTCTTGAGCGTCCTCTTGAATTAAATTGAGTATGGTTAATTATGCGGTTTGTTTAATCCGAAAGTGTGGCACCATGGATATATCGACAATAGTTGAAAAAAAAAGGGGGCCAAATGTGTCCGAAGAGAAGCGGATAACAGGCGGAACAAGAGTGTCACCGGTCGAAGTTGCATGTTCGCTCACAGGGCTGCAAGGAATAGATTATTTACTAGAAAATTTGGTTCGTCACTATGGTTTAGTAACTCGTGAAGGGGAAATGCTCTGAATTATACAAGAATGAAAGGCACATGGCCAATTGGTTCATCCGACGTTCCGTAGGCCTTTCGTGCTATACCGGAGCAAATGATGCAAAAGCATTAAAATAAACAAGTAAGCGCAGACATTGCATTGCCACTTTTTTTTTAATAGTAAAACATAGCTTGCTGCGGTGTAAGCGACTTCCAGGCGAGCAGTGAATTGCCCCGTACCAAAATCAGTGCGAGGGACAGAAAAAGTGAATGAATGAATGGATGGATTTGGACAGTAATCTAGACAACAGCCAAGAAACACTGACATGCTGTCCACATTTCTGTTCGTATGTACCTTGCACACAAAAGCTCACTGCGTGCCGCCATTTAATCGCCTCTGGGATATTTTATATATCCGTATATCCCTCTCAATATGCACTGCCGATGCAGTGACGTGGGTTGTGGCACTCTCGTGCAACAGCACAATTCGCCATGTTGGTCTAGAAGGTCGCGGATTCAAATACCGGCTGGGGCGGCCGCATTTTTAATGGAAACTGAACTGCCAGAGGCCCGTGTAGTTATAGGTGTACGTTAACGAAAAAAAAAACCGAGGTGGTCAAAATTTCCGTCTTGGCCACGGCTCCTTCTCCTCTGCCAGTGCTCCGGGGCCTTGGTCTTCGTCGTGTCCAGTCATCCCTTATAATCATATATGGATCGTTGTCTTGGGTCGACGTAAAGCGGTAACAATTAATTGTTATATTATCAGTGCAACAGAAGGGAAAGGAGGTGATTTTTTTTTCTCACCGTTGAAAGTCTCTATTTCCAGCGTGTTAGTCAAGGAACGGATATCAAGGCCTCGAGTCACGGATTTCCCGTGACTCTCACGGATTTCGCCGTGACTCTCACGGATTTTGCCGTGACCCTCACGGATTTCGCCGACCGATGGAGAGGATGGGGACAAAACGACATCGCGCATGTCCGTTGCTATGACGACGCAAGCACGACGAAAAAAATAGACTTTCGCTCAACTTCGAGGTCCAACCCGCACACAATGTGGTTTTCTGGGCTTGTACTAGAAGTAAATCCTTTACTCCAATAACTAATCAACGTAAAGATAACCGCATTCAACTAAAAAGGGGCACTAAAATTTCAAGCTATAGATGTGCCCTTCATTCGATTGCTCGGTGTGCTTAAGTATTTTGACCAATTTTGAATGGCGTGCGTTCGTCACCTAGAATTCATTTTGAAAAGAAAACAAAAAAACACTGAAAACTTTGTGTCACGTGTCGATAAAGCATAAATGAAGCGTTTAATCAGAACTGGAAACCAAGTAAGGGACAGCAAGCGAGGCACAGCCAAAAACAGAAACAAACGAATTTATTATATGGCATATCCGGCCAATACTCTTCTCTTTATCGTGATTAGCTTTCAAACAACATCGTTCGCTTACATTGGACGCCATCTGTCTACGCGCCGCGTAGTTTATGTGACAAAATTCATCTTTAGATGACAGGGACAGGTATATACAACCACTGTATGACCATCCTAGGTTTTTTTTTTTTTTTTTCGTCCACTGAGTTTCCTTAGTCAGTCGAACGGTATGCCACTGAACACGCTGACGCGGTATACAGCTGAACTTTTAAACATACTAATAAGTGAGAGAACACACACACAAATTTTGACCGGCGATAAGCCAACGCTGTATAAAGTAAATAGAGGAAACAAAGTTGAAAACAACGTCATCGCGAAGCCAGCATCCTAGGGCATTCGCGGTTTCGCTTCCGCTTTCTGGCACGGATAGCGGTTTTTTAGGGTATATATACTTTTTTTAATTTTTTTTTTGAAGAACTTTATATCTCTCTCACACTCTCTCTCCATCTAGCTCTTTCATTCGCTGACGCTTCGTGTAGTAACGTTTTTTTCTTTCTTTTATTTCGTTGTTTCCGCGCTTCTGGTCGAAGGAGTTGGTGGAGCTCCTTTTTTTTTCTCTGGTGAAGCCCATCCCCGTGGCGCTTCGATGGGGAGCACGGACCGTTGGTCTAGTCGCCGGTCATCATCTCCATGAACTCTGCAAAAAGTTTTACCGAGAAAAGTGTGAAGATAAAAAAAAAGATAATGTGAAAGAACGACTTAGATTGCCGGCTGGTGATAGCGCAAGGCGTATGCGACGTCCGATTGCAAGCAGTAAAAAAAAAGAAGAAAATGGGAGACAGCTCAGTAACTAAGTTTGAATAAAGATTATGTTACTGTTACAACGGAACAAAGCCTCGAAGCAAGAAGCAACGAAACAAAGAAACTGTAACAACGATGCAATGAACCGAGTGCTTGCGGGGAAGTGCGGACAGGAGCTGATCAAAGGGGAAGGGGGGCTCCATTTATGAGAAGTCTTATATGTAAATGAGTATCGTGAAGCTAATTGAACAACCATAGGCAACTCACACTCACAACCCAGGGGCATTCCGCACATTTAGACTGCACCACTGGATTCACCCCTGAGTACGGTGGCTAAATCCGGTCACAAATTATGGTCGGCAGGCTAACGTCAAACATCCTTACAGAATGTGAGGGAAAGGCACTCAAAATAATTTTTGAAAAATTGCTCTAAATCGCAGCGCCGCAACGTCATAATTATATTATGTAACTTTTTTCTACCTTTACTACAATTCGCTGGGGTTTGCCATGTTTATTCACAACGATTTCCGTCGACTGCTAGGCATGGCGCTGCCATGTTTGGCGAGAGGGCCGCAGGTCACTTGGAACCAAACTTCTTGTAAACCTCCTTGCGTGCAACAAAATACCATGTGGTAACTATGGTTACCGTGTGGTAACCTCCTTGCGTGCAAAAAAATACAGGTGGTAACTATGTTTACTATGATGTGAGCTTGCTCTAAACGCAGGTGAAAGAGAAAAAGAATCTGGTCTGTTCAGCTGCTTCATTCAGAAGACGTTCCCGGAAGATCGACCGACCAATTTAAAAAAAAAAAGGTTTTTTTATTTCTTACCAGGAGGGAAAGATTCCTAAACAGAGTCAGCGGATATGTGCATATAGCAGACACTTCATTAACAGCACGCCCACAAGAGGCTCAATGAAACAAAGGAAAAGTAGAAAAAACTGGTCGCGTCAGTGGTGTCACAACGCCGCCGTCGAACGGGGTGGGCCGTCGGAGACGTCAAGCCGAAAAGGGGTCGGGGTCGACCGGCCCATTACGTATAAGCGGAGGGGTGCTGAAGAACGCAAGCACGAACGAAATCTTGGCGAGCACCGGCGCACGCTGCATGGCGTATCGCGAAACGTCGGCGCCTCGGCCGCGGAGAGGGAAGAGATTCCGGTTACTCCGGGCTCGCCGCTCTTTCTCCTGTTTCGACGTAACGCGATGCCCGTTTCTTACTTTTGTTGAGCGCCCGTTTATTACTTTTGTTTGGTTTTTTGCCCTTTGTCGAGAGATTGATCTTGGCCTTGTCGGCGCATCTGGTTCGCGCAGAGCATTCGGCCTCAGCGATGCGCCTTGTCACGCGAGACGAGCTCGACAGTTGGAGCGCCGCTCCTGTACGCCGCATAGCTCCAGACGATGTTGGTTGGGTTCATTGTCTTAGCCGTGAGGAGGGTTGGGGGTTACAACACCCGTCGACCCTCCCCTCAATTTTTTTTTCTTTTGCGTGTGCATACACGCACTCATGCAAACACACGCACGAACATACATAAACGGCAATTAAAAAATGTTTCTGGCTAAGCCTCTGGTTTGGTTGTTGGTATAGTTTTGTAGACCAAGGATCATAGCTTTCTGCACGTTTTGTGTGACTGCAGGGGCAGCAGTTACTAAATATCTCTACTCTGCTGTACCTAAAACAGTTGAGACATGTCTACGCAACATGTACATTGGGAGCGCCACAAGCAATCGGAGAAACAAACAAAAGTTCGGCGGGCTCCTTTGGCGATGCAGTGAAGCTTAATTGCACCGTGCTTGTCATCATGCACCTTTTGTATTTTATTCAATTTTTTTTTAATTTATGTGTTTTGATATATGTGTGTGGTTGAATCAGAAAGTAATTATATTGTCCGTACCCATTGCTCTCTAACGGTTGTATTAATTGGCGTAGCTGGACAAAGGTTCGATCGCTATAGACTCTCTCCTTTCCTCCCTTTTTGGCTAAACCTTGGCTACACCCGGATTTCATTGGTCAAGTGCCCGTTCAAGTCTTCAGATCCTTGCCCAACTTTCGGTACATGGAAAGAAAAAAATCTTGTAAGGATGATTAAACGATCCCAATATCGAGGTCATTGGCACCTTGAATATTCTGGAAAATGGGGACAGAGTCACATAAGTAAGCGGCTGCTCGTTGCGAAAAGCGATTGCATCACAAACGTCTACAGTAAATCGAAAGACGTATGCATGCAAGACTCGTGTCATTCATGCAAGTCTCGTGTCATCGATTTCTCGTCTTTCAAAAATATCTGTTTGTCAAGAGAGGCTATAGTTTAGGTTTCAATAACTGTAGATTCAAAACAGCGGTTTCTTTTGTGTATGTGCATGAGCGTGTGTGTGTGCGTGTGTGTGAGTGTGTGTGTGTGTGTGTGTGTGTGTGAGAGAGAGAGAGAGAGAGACTTGCGAGGACTGGTGAAATAGCACGCGTGAGATATTGCGGTTGTGGTAGATGTTGACTGAAAGGTTAGCATATCCTTTCCAGTAGGAAATAAACGATGGAAACCACACACATGACACGCCGTTGCTGTGCGGAGTGACGCATGCGAGAACTGGACAGCGTGACGCAGTGTTTCTATCACAGCAGGTTATTTCAAGTCCACTGCGCGACAAAAGCGCCTCCCGCAACGATATTTAATTACCTTTCAATTGCACAAACTGATATATTTTCGGGTCTAAAAACTTTCATCGGGACACGCCACGACGTAATTCCATGCTTTCCTGGACTCTGTTTCTCTTCCTTTGACACCCCATTTTATCGCTCTGGAAGACCATGACTTCCCCAGCTTCAAACTTCACTGGATAGAAAAATTCGCGTTTTAAATACAAGTGGAAGCGTCATGGACAGCTAGCAGTTAGTAAAAACTCACAGGGTCCTTCAAAAGGGCCCTGCAACACTTTTTGAGCATGGTCAAAAAACGCGGCCAGTAGAGGCTCCCGAGAACACGTGAGCGAAATATTATAGTGTAACATGTGGCCTGGAATTCACAATAAATTTTCAAAGTGAGCTAAAAATTTCTTTCTCTTCTCTCAAGAAACGGCAGAAGACACTCGAAAATCGCGCGTAGAAGGCCAGCTATCAGCCATTGGCTGATTTGAACATGGCGCGCTCGGGGATCACCGCGGGAGTCCGCGACTTGTCCACGCGTGCGCGCGCGATCGCACGGAATAAGCCGCGTATTCCAAGAAAAAAAAAGTGTTCAAGGTCACCAGGCGCGCGTGACGTATTTGATTCGCCCCTAGCATACCTTCCTGCTTAGCCTCCAGCGCTTTCGTCGGGACGAGAGAAGAGAGAACGCGATTGCAGCGTGCGACAATTCTTTGTAACTCCGCTCCTACTGGACGGATTCTTAACATTTTCGCGGCATTGAATTCGTGAAACAATGAGCTCTTTTAGTGAATCCATTTCATGGTTACTTGAATAAGTGATTCAGGGCCTCTTTAAGTCCTCAACTAAGGGAACTTGAAGGTGAAAGACATTTATTTTTGCTCTCAGCCGGCGTATTAACCCTTTCAGTCCTGGATTTTTTATTTTGGTCGGATGCACTTTTTGTGCGTGTTTTTCTCGTAGTTAGAACTTCAGAAGACCACAAACGAAAAATTGAGCCACTGGTAGAAGCATTCTTGGAATATTTAACGTGGCATTAAATTAGGTAATTAGTGCCCAGTGATTGAAAATGAAAAAAAAGGATTTTTTTTTCTGACAATCAATACTGTACACAAAATAGAAACCAACGTCTTACTTTTCAGCCTAATACTCACTGAAACAGCTTCGGTACGTCGTCCCTAAATTGGTGCCTACTCGCCTCAACTTACGCACCTCCGCTTAGCGGAAGACCACGGTTGCGCTTCATCTTCGTGGCTGCAACTTCCACAAACGAGCCGCAATACTGATGTCAATTGCAGTGGGGATCATTGAAGAACTATGCCCCCAAGAATGAGCAGTATTGGTTGCGTTTCCGAGATACTTGGGGAAATGTGCGGTGGTGTCGATTGACACCGCCAGAGCTGAAAGGGGTGCCCCACAACCCACCTTCAAGAAAAAAAAAAGTTGCCGCACCTAACGTGAAATACGGAAAATCGCCTGTTCATACGTAATGGCGACAACACCCATTGGTGCACGCGTCGTCTGCTTATGGGTGCTCTGCTGTTGTTTTTCCCAATATTTCGTCAGTGTTTGCTCTCTCATACCGAACTCGGCCGAAGTGAAACACAGGCGCTGTCATCAGCCCATCGTTTTTGGCGCGTGTACGCACTATAACGTACCGTCGAAGTCGACGGTTCCGCTGCCGTCGGTGTCGATCTCGGCGATCATTTCGTCCAACTCGTCCTCGGTGAGGGCGTCGTCCAGGGCGCGCAGGATCTCGCGCAGGTCGGACACGTTGATGTAGCCGTTGCCTTCCTTGTCGTACAGCCGGAAGGCCTCGCGAAGCTCCTCCTGCATGGCCTCGCTGTCCTCCTCGACCAGGAAACGCGCGGCCAGCGCCACGAACTCGTCGAACTCCAGCTCGCCGGAGCCTGTGCCCAAGCAACCACGGATATTCGTTAGGAATACGTCGGGACGTCCGTCTCGGATATTGCGGACATCCATCAGATATCCGCGGACGTACAATGTACGTCCAATGGACATACCGTGAATGTACAAAGGTAACAAATTTGTACGTTCGCTCGTCATCCGTCTTGGACAGCCGACATGGACATTAAAAGGACCATCAGGGGATATATCATACATATACACAGGTACATATATGTTCATAATAGATATGTATATTGATTTCTTATTCATTGTGCATAAATAATCTACCCCCTAATGGTCCTTTGAATGTCCATGCGGCCTGTCCAAGACTGATGTTGAGTGAGCACAAATACCTAGCTATATATATATGGGTACAACACGTACCGCCTGTTCAATTGACGCCAACCACGCGGCCAACAACCGCCCGCCTCGTGCGATTCTCTCGTGAGCTTGAAATTTAAATACCAAAGATGTAGGCGAACGTGAGCTCACATATATACACCCCGCAAAGTGAACGGAAGCATGACCTACCGCAGTATAGCTCTGTTCGGTCCCTGCCACTGGCAGACTATCTTTTCGCCCACTGTACTTTCTTTACAGTTCGACATCATAGTTACTACAAATAACGTCCCCTGTACTTTCCAGTTCGGCTTTCTTGTCCGTTAGTTGTAATTATTCTGCGCTTAACAAAGGAAAAACTGAACTCGTCACCCCCTTCTTTCGGTGAACCCCTCCTTTCGTTCACTCGGAATTAAAGTCTGACACACACAAGTTGAAGTCACAAGTTTTCTTTGTTTTTATTTATTAATTTTATGTGAGCGCGAAACAAAAATAAAGTTTTACCAATTGCACGATTCACGTGTGCAGAAAAAAAAAAGATTCAGTAATAAACGAGTGCTTTCCGTTTACTTCATACTGCGTGGTTTGCTGAAATCGTAGAACACAATTTTCGCATGGCTGGTATTCAGGCCCGTAGCCAGAAATTTTTTTTTTTTTGGGGGGGGGGGGGGGGGATGCTACCGGAGTTAAGAAGCAAATAATCACCATAAAATAAGCAAGAAAGAAGTGCGAATTTCGCGAAGCCCGAAAGAAGGGTGAAATTTAATTAGTTTTTTTTTCCTTTCTTGAACATATTTTAGTTATAACAAAATGTCACTCAAGTGCGTAGGGTAGTTGAAAAAAAAATCTCTTTAAATTATTTTGTATAGCGAATATACGCGAAACTGCGACCGAAAGTGCGTATTTGTTTCTAAAATTGACTCCATGGTTGAATGCACGTTTGCCAGTGCATGATTAGTGTTACCTATTGATTCTCCCAACGTATGTTTGACATCAACGCTCATCCGTTCGAAATCATCTACAAACTGCGATCATCTATACATGATAGCTATATTTGCCTGGGGGAAAGAATGCAAAGCCCCCCCCTCCCCTTCTCAAAAAAAAAGACAGAAGAAAACGCTACCAGGCGAGTGAGAAAATTATGCACACGTGAGTCGGTGAAAAAAAAAAAAGCCGAAATCAGCTTATATAGGCTCAACCGTCAACTTTCACGGGAGCTGTCCAAATGCACGTTCCTACAGCAACAATAACATATAGTAAGCAAAACGAGAAGACTTCGGAGGCTCAGGCGAAACGTTAGCACGCTCATCGGTCGCCGCGTACAGAAAGGTGATTTTGTGCTCACCGTCCTGGTCAATCTCGGAGATGAGCTCCTTGAGGTCCTTCTCCTCGAAGGTCTGACCCAGCGTACGCAGGATCGCCGACACCATGTTGGTGTGCACGTAGCCCTTCTTGTCGCGGTCGAACATGTCGAACGCCTTGCGCAACACTGCACACATATAATACGAGGAGTTAGTCGTGCACAAAGGGATGAGGCGATTGATTGATATGGTGGGGTTTAACGTCCCAAAACCACTATATGATTATGAGAGACGCCATAGTGGAGGGCTCCGGAAATTTAGACCACCTGGGGTTCTTTAACGTGCACCCAAATCTGAGCACACGGGCCTACAACATTTCCGCCTCCATCGGAAATGCAGCCGCCGCAGCCGGGATTCGAACCCGCGCCCTGCGGGTCAGCAGCCGAGTACCTTAGCCACTAGACCACCGCGGCGGGAAGAGATGAGGCGAAGCACACGCGTAATGAAGGCTGACTAATTGCGGGGAAACAAGGATGCCCTCTGTTGGGCGATAGTTGACAGATATGTGAATCAAATGGGTATTCGTTTCCATAACTCTCTCTCTCTCTCTCGAATCAGCAATTACCCACGACAAGTGAGTGTCTTTCTATTTCTGAAAGCCAACCTGTGCTTTCGTTACGGTTTTTGCTCTTCGCCCTCCCCTACTTCTCCCCCAATCGGTCGGCAAACTCAATCACTAGTCAAGTCATCCAAATTGAGTGGTTAGTGTGATGTAGTTAAGAGTTTTCCACACTCGCCACAATGGATACTGGCGGCGCTGACCGACGCTCCCACGTTTAATGCACGTACCCCATAGAGTGGACCGGGGAGGGGGGGGGGGATGACTACCGTGGTAGCCAAGTTGGTTGAGCATCGTACGCGTTATTCGAAGGTCGCAGGTTCGGACCCTGCCTATGGCAAGTTATCCTTTCGTCTACTTTACTTTCTTCCCATTTACATTTCAATTACTTCTAGTAACTTCACCTATACTTTGCTTAGCACGATTGTCTGTTAGATCTCAATAATATTGTGTTCAACAAAAAAAAAAACGAGCCCCTAAATGTAAACTTCTTTCCTTCACTCAGGTGAAGTAACACTTTAGAGAATCTGGATGAGTAATATTTCGCTGAATCCGAATTCGAGTGAATACGGATGAGAAAGGCTCTAGTGAGCCGTAGTACGAGTAAGCCCTGAGGGCAAAATATATTTCAATAAGGAATCCAGGTGAGCTCCACATTATTTTGCCGACCAATAAAAGTGGCCGAGTTTGGTCGGCAACACAGCAAAGACTGAAGACGGGTCGAATCGGTGGCACTGAAGTGCGAAGAAAGTATCAGATGCATTCATAAGCCACATTCACACTGCCACAGGGATATATGCTCCACTGTGTTTGATTACATCAATGCAACTAAAAGATTACCGTGCTAGTGAACCCTAACCTTTTCATATCTTTAGTTTATCATTCGTAGCGATGTCTGTCGGGAACAAGAGATGGTTTGAACACTTCCTCAGCAAACATTTTTGTTTATTGGCAGTATTATCTCAAAACAAATTTTTCAGATTGGCTTTAATATCATTTCAGTTTCATTTAAGTATCCTGCCGCCCGGTTTTTGGCCCATCGCCCTCTGTGGGTGAGTGCCATCAATCTGAGGTCATCAGTATCAGCATCAGCATATGCAGCTGCTTCGCAGCTGTGTGTTTATAATTTGCGCTCTGAATGAACACATATTATTGGCATACGCAAGGTTGTTTATTGTGGAGAAGAGAGAGGGAGGGAGGTGGCAAGTAACACTGCACGCAATTACCGTCAGAACCGTCATGCCATCATACTTACTTGCCATCAACCCTACTTCAAAAACTGACGGGAGAGGTCCATTTCTCTGACCTCGCCGTTTGCGCACCTATGCGTGCACATTTGCGAAGAGAAAGCCGCACATTCAAACCGTACAAAGAACAAAAAACAACAAGCACGAGCGCACGGCGTTGCTCCACTAGGTGTGGCACCAGGATTTTTTTTTTTTCTTTAACGGGAGATTGGGGGCTGCACTTAGGTCTGTCAGTGGGAAAGGGTGGCTGGGAATTTCTGAGTTGCATTTTGGCTCGGTTTTTTTTGGGGGGGGGGGGGGGGGGGTAGAAAAGATTTGTGGGGTTGGGGGAGTAAGATGCTTCGCAACTAGCGCCCCCTTTTAGTGCCACCCCTGCCTGCTTTGTGCGTACTTGTTCAAAAGAGCCGTTCCTCCGGAGATACTATACATGTCGTATAGCGTTTGATAGCGTTGGCACGCCAAGGGAGAAGCGCAGACGGTGTCTTTTGTCCTGCTAGGCCTAGCACACGTGGACGGACGCTTCGGTGGGTGTCGAAAGAGCGACGAAGAATCCGACGCGCCAGCGGCCGCAAGAGGATCCGCAGGCCACCGAGCTGCGTGCCTGCTGGCAGCTATTCTTGGAGGGCCTGGGATGGGACGGGCCGTAAACGCTAGGACCCAGTGTGCGCATGAGCCCCAGCTTTTTTTTTTTCTTTACTTTTTCTTGTGCTCCGAACAGGCGGCTCGATGTGGCGCGACCCTTTTGCTTCCTTCCCTTCATAGGTAGTGAGGGACGTTCTGCGAGGGGTGACCTACGCGAATTCCGGTTTCTGTGCCTCGTTCGTTTTCTTTGCTACCATGTATTGATTCTAAAGCCTTCTTCCTTCCTTTCGGCAATAATTATGTGCAATAAATTTGTGAAACCTTACCGCTTTCCAGCATTTATACATAAGCAATAGAGAGAGATGAAGATGACGGTTAAGAGGTTAACCAGATATTAGCAACCGCTTCGCTACTCAGCACTGACGCGGGGGGAAGGGGTAGGACATTATTGGTGGTTGATTATTTCCTGTAGGTTAGCATACCGTAATCCTGTAGTTTGCTAATTGAAACGCCTGTAGAGTTGTCTGTTATTACTTTTCACGTTTTTTCGGGTGAAAAGGAAGGTGTGTAGGGCAGTGTTTGTTGATTCAAGAGTGAAATAGGTGTTCGTGATATATAGGCCACTAGTATATTAACAGATCAATGCTGTCGTAGTCCCAGCTGTGTATCCCAAATGCATGTCCAGATTGAGGGGAACCTTATCTACCTCGTTCAACCCAAGCTGCACGTTAGGGCAGCTTTCCAACGGCACCTAAAATATGCCGACCAAGCTGTAGCCAACTATAAAAGAAAGATTTTGAGTGCACTCACCATGTATGCAAACAAACGCTTTATAAATGATATCTCCTTGCGTGGTGCGAATTTGGTCAGTGTTTCCCCACGGCAAGCGTGCTTCACCAAACACTACCTTGCATTGTGGCGAAATACCCAACTCGGAAGTAACAAAAATCTCACAATTACACCATAATGTGCTCTTCATTCGTACGTGGTCATAAAAAACGAATATTTCTCGAACAGGAATTTAAAATGTGATAGTTTTTACCCCTAATAATGTAGTAATTGTTGTTGGAGAAACAGCAACTGTAAACTCATGACTGCTGTGAGTATAACACAAATGGCACACTTCTTGAACACCGTTCCACCTAGCTCGATCGTTAAATGTACTTATGCCTTGATGAACGGCGTTATAACGCTTGAAAGTTCAGTAGTCTGAACTTTCGTAAGAAAATAATATGTCTGTTCAGCTAGCAGAACGTTACAGCTTCACTAATTGAGGAAATGCGGTGATTCGTTACGATTGCGAAGGAACTCTCATACTTTGGCTTGACCTGACTTGCGCATGACATGCGCATCACTCTGTGAGCGTGTGTGTCAAACTCACTCACTTACTCACTCACTCACTCACTCACTTACTCACTCACTCACACTCAGATGTTTTGAAGAGCGTGCTTTGCCGCAAGCAACCTAGTGCTGCAGTAAAGCAGAATAACGAGAAGCACGGTCAAGAGGGAAAGCGACGGAGCCGAGTTTGAACGGGCACACGCAATAGCGTGAGTTCGAAAAAGAAGATTTAATCTAGAATGACGATATTCATGAAATGTTCTATTATTATATTTCGAGCGGTTAAATAACGAAAAAACGCTTTTTTTTCTAGAAATTTCAGTACTATGTTTTATGTAAGTCTTTTTGACAAAGTCCGTAATTTGTACAGGTATAGACACGAAAGAAACTGAAAAGGCAGGCGCTTGCGTTGAAAAACCATGCCTATGAATTATTAGTATTCGTCTGCATATTCAAATTTGGCACGCCAATAAAAATAATTAGAATAAAAGCAATATGTACTATGTACTATATAACGCGTTTGCTTCGTTAACGATGCCCTGAGAAAATGAAATCAGTGGCGAGTGTAATCATGTATACTACTAATATTAGTGAGGGAGTGTTCAAGTAGGATAATGTTGAGCGTATCTTATCAATTAGCGCTTCCTATGGGAGGCCCACTTCTGCAAAGGAAGGGGTCAAAACTACGTCTGCAGGTATTGTTAACTTGGCTACATCTAGCAAGGACCTTACGGTTGGGCGCGTACCCAGCTGGCATGGTAATGAAAAAAACGTAAAAAAAGCAAGAACTTGACAAAATGAAGTGGCAATCTTGATACAATGGAATAGAAGCCATCCCCAACCACTTTTCTCGGAAGCCGTGCCACACAGGACACACGTACACGTGCATTCGAGTACTCTGCACCTTTATCTACAATTTATCAGTGTTTTATTGCTTATTTTTTGTTTGTTGCCAGACTACTGCCGCTGTGAAGTACGCTATGAAAAGGTGCCATTGTGCAACAGTTGGCCGATGCCAATGTTACCAAACTGTCGTGGTCGACTAATGCACTAAAGCCGGTTTGGCAGTGGCTGACAGTTAAAGAAATATACCGTCTGGTCATGATATTGATTGTTGAAATGTCACGTGGGCGGGTTCGAATTACGTGATTCAAGATCAGTATATTTCGAAAGAAAGTTTCGCAACGAATAGTGATGCTTTCTTCCGTTTTTAGTTAATCTTGCTTTCGCAATGTCAAGGTTAGTTTTTTGTTTTGTTTTTTCACCAACAATATTTCACCGAGATTGGAAACTGCGGACTCTTTATGGTTTTTAAGCTCGTAACCAAAGCACACTGTTTTCCCACAATCTTGTACCTCACTTTTAACGTAATGCCCGCAGAATAACTTTCGGCTTTAACTAACAGGCAAATAGAAGTCGCAACGTTTAGTTTCTCTGCATGCTGCCTGTGATTATGCAACTACTATATTACTGTGTTTCTTTATTGCGTAAATGTGCGAAATAAACGTTTTAATCGAGCAAAATAAAAAAATTATCAACAAAACCGGATCAAATAAAATTTTAAAAAATAGATCCCAGGTTGGAGTGGACGTGAACTGTACGCCTGGCGAGATGCCACATTCAAGGCTGATAGGATATTTCGGTCACCTCCCACGAGTCATTGTCGCATGCAATTAATGTACGTCACTCGATCTACAGTGCAAAGTTCAGGAGTTGGTGGTAAAACCGTCCCTTTGTATTTCTGCAGGACGGCGCAGTTTCTTTGGTCGTACACAGCAGTTAAGTACGCCTTTTTTTTAGCGTGGTATCGCATTATTATAAACACCTTTACTTTGTGCAGCCGTGCATCGCGAGATTGACCATGCTTCGGAACTTGAATAATTGGTATAACTCACGAATTCGACGTTCCTGTTCAACACGCTGTCTCACATCAATATTTCAAAACTTTCGTGCTTATCATTTATTCCATCTTCTTCTCTTTATTTGATTCAGCAAATTAATCCCGTTTAGCCAATATTAATGCTGCCGATATATCATTAGCGAAGGCAACAATACAATGGGAATAAACACTTAAGTGGGGTAATTTTTGTGAGTTTACCTCTGTGTATCGAACCACAGTGCGTTAATTTGCCATGGCGTTGTGTATGCTGGAAGGTTGTGGTAAACTGCTTACGTGTTAACTGGCGATCTGCGCTTATCTGAGTGTAAAAAAGAAGTCAACCAGGAAGTTTTCTCAAGCATTTCGCGTATTAAAAAAACATGCCGAAGTTGTAAAACTTGCACGTAATCACGCCATTACAGCGCTAATTGTATGTCAGCGTCATCGGAGATTAAAGTTAAAAGAAAATGTCCGTTATGCAATTTTTCCCGCAATAGAGACCATACATAGTTTTGAGAGTAAGTTTTAATAGGCAATGGCTATTCCGTGTGCTTTTTTTTTTACACTTTCTGGCACCCTTTTTGAAAACCAGAAAAGAAAAAAAGATGTGAGACTTACTCTGCACTTGCTCTTTGGTCAGGTCTTCCTGCAACGAGCAATGGCCACAAAGTTTAGTACGTACCCAGCATACAGTTAAATATCTAAGATGTGCGTGCTGGCACCAAAACGTTGGCTAGCACTATAGAGCTATCGACTCAGCCAATAGCTACGAAAAAGTGGCTGTCGAAGCTGAGGTTCGAGGTTTACAGTCAGCGTCAACTGCATAACGAAATGATAGTTTTATAAAGGCTTTAAAAGAAAGGTAACGTGAATGCAACGACGCTGATTTCGCCTGATGGTGCGAGTATATACCGTGGAAAAGGGTAAAGCATAAAAATGGCCATAAAAAAATGTCAACCTATGCTAATCGTTACTTGAACTTTAAAGGACGATAGTGAACTCGGAATAGCTTAAATAGTTTTAGCGCCATTGACTTAAGAACAAAATTGTTAGCACTTTTGTGGTACAGTCAAGCAACATGATTAGATATAGCAACGACTTAGTTGGCAGACATGCAAGGTCTCAAGATTACTGAACCATTTTCCATATAAATATGACAAGCTCATAGAAGAATAGAAGATATGACGGGACGAATGACGTTGTCAAAGGTATTCGTTTTCGAAAGCTGAGACATGCAGTTACACTCCTAAACATGCTAAATCTCACGTCGGTGTACGGCAGTGTGAAATCATCGCGACTGCCTTTTCGTCGTGCACGCTGCAGCTTTAGCGTCAGCGACGACAATGTCGACGTTTCGAATCGGTTAAAGGGGCGAGACTAAAATCATTTACAGTGCGCACTTTATCTGACCGACGTGAGCTATAGACGGGAAGAGGACGAGAATATAACGAATCTTGCACGTGTCTGTAATGCTTCCTCCTCCGATTACTACAGGCTCCGGAATCGCAGTCCACTGCGTCGTACTTTCTTCTTAACTAGATTGTTCGTTTCATGCGCAAAATACACGTATGACATTTCATGAACGTCTGGATAACTTGTATGTTGCTAAGCTGGTGAATAATATTTTATTTTCGACGTCTACGCGCATGTTTTCACTCCCAGCATCTTGCAATTTGCCTGTACTTCTTTCTAGATTTATCTTTCTCTGCTAGATATATCGGGCGAAAGTTGTCAGCAACACCGCGATGCTTTATCACATGCTCGCAAGAGGCGACGCACGGCTTTACCGAGTCAAAGTGGCGTCAAAAACATTTTGTTGGAAAAAACGAATAGATGAAGTAGCGTGAAGCGGACAGAGTAAGGCTTTACCATGTTGAATCAGGACGGGCTACGACGGCGAATCCGTGTACCGCTGCTTCGGACGGTCTGGCCGAGGTTTGTTCGCCGAGAGAAGCGCGCTCCCGTCGCCTGGTAGTCCCGACTGGCGAGCGGGTGTGTCGGCGCAAAGCGATCGCACGGCCGGGGGCTCCATTTTTGGACGCTCGCGCGCAGCATCACAAACAGCGGCAGCCACCGCGCGTGCCGGAGGATCCGTCACGTGATCAGGTCCTTGCGTGACGTCAGCGCCGGTGTCCGGCCAGGGGGCGGAGCACCTTTCCTTCCTCCGTGGGGCGGAGGACCTCGGGTGCCCCGGCTCCGCCAGTACCGTACATCACAAAACCAACGTGAAAGCGCATTTACCTACACGAGAAAAAAAAGAGTGCCCTATTTACACCGTGTAGTACGTTAACACTTGTAATTTTGTAGCAATCATAGTCTTTCTGTTTGCTCAAATACTAGTTTCGCATCTTTCTATGTACTTGTAACCCAATAATTGCGTGTTAAACAAAAAATCCTGCCAGCAAATGGTGGCGGAAGAATATACACTGTCTAAACTAGTCGTCGCTCCAGGTTGGACGAGCCGTGGCTCCAGGTTTTGCGGCACTGCACCGAACTACCAACTCGGAGCCGTCGCAGTGATTCCGAACACCGCCGCGGTAACTTGAACGCGCGAAGCCGAGCTCTCCTGTCGAGCTCTTTTCTTTCTAAATTTATTTCTTGCTCTGTTACGTAGACGCCTGTCTTAGATCTAGGGTGGGCCAGGGGTTAATTTTAGCGGCGCGACGCCGCAAAACGTTAGCCGTCGGTCGCGTCTTGCCGGGACGTTCCCGGTCGTCGAATTGTGCCCCTCATTCTCTGCACGCTGAACATGCGCTGCTGCACTGCCAGCCGCGATTTTGCAAGTATGTGCGAGTAGTGGCCGCGATTTTTCACTTCAATCTCGCTGGCACTCGCCCTCGCTGCTTTTCAACCGGCACATATTTTGTTGCAGTCCCGCGCTCTCTCCCTTCTTCTGGTAGTGCATACACAGCCTTGCTCTTCCAGTGGTTTACGATGACGCCTGCTGTGCTTTACATTGTTAGTCTCACTTGCAAAATGGCACACGCACGCATGCAGACACCACAATGACACCACAATTGTGTCATGACATGATTCTTGACAGCACGCACACCATTGTGTAATGATATGTTCTCTCATGGAAAATCAACAAGGAGGAGGAGAAGGCAAAAATTTGAGGAAGCTCCAGCATCCCCCCCCCCCACCCTCGTGCCCACCCCTGACGCCACCCCTGTTTGTCCATCTCAAGCATCACCTGTATTTGCCCTCACCTTAAATGGGCCCTGAAACACATTTTCAGTTAGCCACGGAATAAATTTAGTAAAAAAGCTTATTGCCTCATGATTTTAACGCCACAAAATTTTAAGAATCCGTACCCTACGAGCAAAATTACAATGATTTGTCGAACGCTTCAACCGCATTCCTTCTTCTCCCGTCCCGACGAAAGATGCTAAGCAGCGAAGACAGCGAGAGATGGCATAAGCAAAGAAAGTACGTCACGCGTGACTTTGAGCACTTTATTTTTTTTTCTTCGAATCGTGCGCACACGCGTGGACAAGTCGCGACCTCTTGTAGCAATCCTTGTAGTGACCGAGCGCTCCATGCTCGCATCAGCCAATGGCTGATAGATGGCCTTCTACAAGTGATTTTTGAGCTTCCTCCATCATTTGTCGAGAGAAGAGAAATCAGTTTTCAGCTGACACCAATAATTCATTGTGAATTTTAGGCCGCGTGCTGCGCTATATTATCTGGCTCGCGTTTTCTCGGGATCCTCTACAACCGATCGGCAGTGTATTCTCACCATGCTGGATGGATGGATGGATGCTATGAGCGTCCCCTTTATAACGGGGTGGTGACAAGTATGCCACCAGGCTCGACAAAAAAAAAAAAACCTTTTTTCTTTTTATGTTGGCCTAATGCCTCTACTTCGATAAATTCTATCTTAATGGAAAAAAGGTAAATTTTCAGCTTAAGTTCTCTGCCATTTACGGCACACTGTCCATATTTTATTTTTCCAATATTTATTTTGTCCTTTCTCTCTAATTTTCTGCCACCAATACTCTAACCGTCTCTTACTTATTTCAATCGCGGGTGTGTTCAGCTCTCCATTGTTGTCCCTAAAACCCAAGGCTTCCTGTAGGCTCGTGCCCAAACGTACACCTGGGTGGATATCTCCACATTCAATCAGAACATGCTCCGCCGTTTCCTTATCTTTCCCGCAGCATGTGCATTGTTCTTCTTCTTTACTGAATCTTGCTTTATAACTACGCGTTCTAAGGCAACCCGATCTCGCTTCAAACAGTAAAGCGCTTCCCCTTGAATTATCGTAAAATGCCTCCCTCCTTATTTCATTTTTGCCCTTTCGGTAGTTACTCAAAGCCGGTTTTTTCTCCATAGCTGCCATCCAGTAAATCCTCTCCGCCTCCCTGACTTTTCCCTTAACGCTCTTTGTTGACATACGGCTTACAATACCAGCCGTATACTTACTAGTGAGTCTTCTAGTTCTTTTTCTCCACTGTGTGTCCACGCTCTTCCTATACAAATAACGGAACACCTTCTCTGCCCATCTACTCTCCTTCATATTTCTTAGCCTTTCTTCGAACCTTATTTTGCTCTGCGCTTCCCTCGCCTCAAAACCTGTCCACCCCATATCGCCCTTTACAGCCTCGTTTGTCGTCTTCCCGTGAGCACCCAACGCGAGGCGTCCCACAGTCCTTTGATTTACATCCATTCCCGCTTGCACCTCTGCCCTCATGCACACCACTGAGTTCCCAAAAGTAAGCCCTGGAACCATTACACCCTTCCACAGACCTCGAAGCACCTCATACCTATTGTATCCCCACAACGCTCTGTGCTTCATTATTGCCGCATTCCTCTTTCCTTTTGCTGCCGAGGCTTTTTCCTGTACCTCCATGTATCTATCACTCTCATTTACCCATACTCCAAGGTACTTGTATTCACTTAGCCTCGGTATTTCTTGGCCTTGTATGGACACCGTCTGATCACAGGGATCATTGAATACCATCAATCCACACTTCGTTACACTGAATCCTAGTCCAAGAGCTTCACCTTCCCTTCCGCATATATTCGCCAGCTGCTGTATATCATCTCGACTGTCCGCAAATAAGACGATATCGTCCGCATAAAATAAACCTGGAAGCTTCTGCTCAATCATCATGCCGCCCTGTTTGTGTGACAGATTAAAACCAATGTTGCTACCTTCTAGCGCTTTTTCCATACTCACCATGTACAGCATGAATAACAGCGGGGACAAAGGACATCCCTGTCTCAGACCCCTGCTAACCTCAACGTTCTCTTTGCTACGCATTCCTTCCCACTCTATGCAAACTGTATTTTCTCGGTATATCTCTCCCTCAAAAGCTGTATACAGTCGTCGCCCATGCCCATTCCTTTCAATATATCCCACAAAATTTCCTGATTAACGTTGTCGTATGCCCCAGTGATGCTCAAAAAGTGTTGCAGGGCCCCCTGTAAGCTACACAAGTGCTCTTTCGTTATCCTAGACGCGATGCAACACTCCCCCCCCCCCCCCCTTGTGGAAAAAATTTCGCCGACGACCATGATTACGGAGGTACCGATGCAGCACCGAGGATCAATGTCTGAAATACTGTGGCGAAAGTAGCGTCGTCCACAAAGCCGACACTATTGCAACGCCGTCTTCATCAGTCGCCAACCCAGGCATGATTAAAAATATTCCTGAGATTTTCTCTTTTTACAGCAAGGATGTTTGGCCCAGGTCTGCTCATTCAGGGAAGCTCCAACGTGCGGCCCCTAACTGGCCCTCCCAGCCGCGTGCTACCTTGTTAGTTTTTAGTGGACCAGTGTGGCGAGTATTTATTTATTTATTTATAGTACCCTCAGGGTATAAATACTTTATAGAGGGGTAGCGGGTGCACATAATAAATAAAAGCATCAACAATAACAGTATGAAAGTAAAGCTGGAAGCATTATACAGAATAATTACAAAAAGTACAAAAAACTATAAGTCTAGTAAAGTACAATACACAGAAAAAACAAACTTGTAGCAATACGGAAGGCTTGATAAGACAGTTTTAAACGCAGTTGCATCAGTTATATCATGTTACGAAGGCTGGCAAGTGATTCCAATCACCTGCTGTTCTGGGAATAAATGATTGTGAGCCTGCAGTACTGGAAAATATGGTATGATAGCCTTATGGTGATGATCAAGTCGATATGAGCGGAATGGAGCTGGCGTATCAACAAGGAACGAAAAGTGGGGTTGTGGAGAGTTTGCCTAAATTTTGTAGCACATGCACGCTGTAGAAATTTCAGAGCGCGGCTGCTATGATCGAGGACAAATGCTCTGATCGAGGTTTGTCCACAGGTACAGAAATAAACAGATAGAAAGACACACACACACGTCAAGACACATGTCAAGAAAAAAGTGAACAAAAACATAACTTGCCACCAGCGTGATCGATTCCTGACATTATTTTCGGTTAGTTATTGTTAATGTATAATACGGAGGGCACATGTACTTTCGCTGCGTTGAGTAGCCAAAGCGGCGAAAATGTCTGGATTACTGGGCCCATGGTTATAATGCCTTTGAGTGCCTCGCCTCTATCGACGTCTTTTCACGCTTGCTCTGTAGTCGCAGAGGTGGTCCCCACACGCTTATAACGGGATTAGCCAGCCATGAGTGGTAAAAGTCTGGACTAAAGCAGCTGCAAAGTACCGTAGTGGGGTGCTATTCTGGACACAAATTCTACCGTATTGTTAAATTTCGTAATTGCCGCATTTTAGGCCAATCAGAGAGGTCGCAGCAGTTCAATGGGCCAACCAGCATCGATCAATGGCGAATTCTGACAACATGGCGGAATTTGACAATGTCCAGAACACGACCTACTGTACTTCTGACCTGCCCAGATAGCAGGGCTCCTATGGAAGCGCATGTCCCCGCTCTCGTTCGACCGCTCACCATTGGTGGCGCAACCTATAACCTGTTCGTCTGCTACTTTATGGTTGTTTTTACGGCGCTGGGGTAATGCCTGCATTTTGTGGTGAACTGTTGGCATATACGGGACTATTTCTTTACTTAGATGGCTGGTCAAGTAAGCTGTTCTGTTCGCTTAACTATTTATTGCACACTGGTTGACAAACGTGGGAACCCTTAGACTTACATGATGTAGGACAGCTTATACGGTGTCGCGTCTTTTTAATTGCTAAAAAAATTCTGATTGACCTTTAGTATATTTATTCCTTAATTATTTTTATTTTTTCTTAATTATTACGTGCTCTGTTAGCCAAATATGACCACAAACGCTCAAGGTGAAGTCAGCGAACAAGTGCTGACTAGCGCCACGCGCTTTCAGGTTGTAGCCCTAGCGGCAGAAATAATAAACTAGAACATGAGCGCTGAAGAGGGGTTTTTTGGGCAGGTCAAAAGTAAAGTAGGTCGTGGTTCAAAATAACACTCCTAAGACGAAACCGAAACTTTCTCAGTTTTGGCGCATATTGTCACAACGATCACCAGAAACGCATTGGTACATTTGTTGTTCGGTGTTTTAAGCAGAATATTGCATAAAATACATTCCACACAAAACAGTAAAACACATGCTGCGAAAACGAAAGTTTGTTATGAAACCCAACGTTGCCGCTAGCACTCTTTCATTCACACCGAGTTTGAAAACACAAAACAAGCAAAAAATTAGTGAAAAATTAAGGCATAAAATTAAACTTTTAGCGCTACACTACAAATTTTGTAGCGCTACGTTACAAAGTTATCAATTTTTACGGGAGCAATGGAACAAAAACAGAACCAAAAGTTGTTTAAAGTACCCATTGTTGCTACTTGACATTTAATTTTGTTCGTTAAACTTAGACTTATATGAAAATACAAAACAAGTGCAACAAACTAGCACTTAAATAAAACAAAAAACAGCACGTAACGTTTGTTAAAGGATTAAAATGAAGGCATTAGCGTTTACAAAAGTACGTAAAGCAAAACAAGACAGGAAATGTTTTTTTTTACAGGTAGGTGTTTTGTAACGCCGCTGTGTCGCTGCGGTCGTCAAGCGGCCACGCGTCGGAGACGTCAGCGACCTGTCGAGCCTCTCCGGACGCAAACATGGCTGGCGGTAGGAAGCTAACGAAGGAAGAGGAGCTTTTGCTTCAAGATTTCAGCCGGAACGTGTCCACAAAGTCATCAGCGCTGTTCTACGGGAACGCCTTCATCGTCTCCTCCATTCCGATATGTGAGTCGGAAAACACTTTACGCGTCGAATCGGTACTTTCGGAACAAGCGTTTCAGTAGCGGCGACATGTGCCACAAATGCGACACTCGCCCAGTTTGCGACGTCCTTTCGGCGGGCGCAATGGATTTCTGCGTTAGTTTCAGAAAGCAGATGTTTGTTGCTTCTACGATGCTTATTGACGTAGCTGTTATCAGCCCGTCACGGCGTTTAGAACTCTGCATACTTGGAACATGTCACTATACACGCATGCAAATGCGCGTCCTTCTTACCTGGTCAAAGCAAATATATCTCTCAAAGCAGTGAAACATCTTGTAGCTCGAGTTTGCCCGTCGATGGTGGCCTTTGACACGAACTGTGGCATCTGAGCATGCTCGCACTACCATAGTTTCCCGGTAGCGTTCCCATGGAACCCGAATTGCGGCTGCTTCTTACGTGGAATTCCAATTCCGATCTCCGCATTCCAGGGCTCTTTTGGAGAATCCACCAGATGGACCTGTACCAGTCGTCCATCATCTTCGCGGTGATGACCATCGCGTGCACATGGCTGATCGCCTTCGCCTACAAGAACGTCAAGTTCGTCCTCAAGCACAAGTAGGTTATTTGCATGTGCAATCGGTGACAGTTCGGCGCAGTCTCCGTGAAAAGCTTCGCTTACTTATTTCTGTTTCTTCGTCTTCAGAGTCGCTCCCAAGAGGGAGGATGCTGTCAACCGAGAAATCATGAAGAAACTCTCGGATGACAAGAAGATGTCCAAGAAGGAAAAGGATGAGAGGTAAGAAACGGCTCTCATTAATTTCTGGCATCCAAGGGCGTAGGCAGATTTTTTTTTTTTTTTTGTGCCGTCCCCTGCAGTGATGGAAGTGCTGCTCTAAACTGCTGCAGAAGTTATTCATGATCTCTTTAAGTCGTCTTAGTGCAGCTTCCACATCTTTGCTTATCATGACAGCAGTCTTGCCGAATAGCTCTGTGACTAAAAAAGAATTACTTTGTGGGTGGCTCAATCAAACCGCTGCCTCCTGGTAAAACACCTGGATGCCATAACTGCTAGGTGAAATATGCAGGCACATTGCCGTTGTGTCACCTCTATAAGTAAGCAAATGGCTGATGTGCGTGTCACTTCTAGCATTAGGCTAAGTAACGCAGGTACTTACATTTTTAGTGCCTTCAGTTTATATTCTATTGTGATAATTTTAATTTATATTTTTAGATTAGGGCCAACATCGTTAGTGGCCCAGTTTTCAGCGACATCACGCAGTTATCACAAGCAATTGCTTATAGCAGTCATTTTCACACCACTAATCAGCCTGTTTAGTTTTCACTGAACTTTATAAAAGCACCTTACTTTGAATTTGCCTCCCCATCGCAGTCTTTGCCAAATTAATTTATGTATGTGTTTCTCTTCGACTCGCAGGATATTGTGGAAGAAAAACGAGGTGGCCGACTACGAGGCGACCACATTCTCCATCTTCTACAACAACGCCCTCTTCCTGGCGCTCATCATCGTGACGTCCTTCTACATTCTGAAGGCGTTCAGCCCGACAATGTATCCTTCTGCAGTTCTATCGGTTTGCTTCAATGTCATCTGTTGTTATGGCCTGTTCCCTCCGTACTCTTATGGCCCGAATGCAGTGTAGCCAGCACAACGTGTTTAGTGTGATCATGGTTTCTCTCTGCACTTTTTTCAGTGCATTTTCTGCAGACCTGTGGTGCTTTCTTTGGAGTAACTGCTACATTTGTGCTTTGGAGTAACTGTTGCATTTGTGCTAAACACAGTTGCAGTTTTAAGGAAGTGCCTTAGCTTGCTTTTATTAGTGGTGTTTACATTTATAGTGCTGAATGTAAAGTTGAACAATATACAATGCACTAGTCGCTGAAGAATAGCACACTACTTTTTTTGACAGCAAACAGGTTCAGTTTCACTATGGCTTTCATGTACGAAGTACATAACTATTGTCATTTCAGTATGGCATATGCTTTGGTAGGTTACTTTTGCTGTGAATGGGAACAATGTACTAAAGGCTGTCATGTGTCTGATCTTGAAGCTTCAGAATAATATTGAAGTTTGAGATAGTGACAATTGGATAGAGGGTTGAATTGACTTAGCACAGCTTTTGATTCACTATTCCAGTTTCATGTAATATTTTAAGCTAATCAGTTGGGTCCAGTCGGCAGCCCCATTCCGTTTCATACGTATCCAGCTATGCTACTTCTCATTGCTCATGCTTGATATAGCATTTTTTTCACAATTTATTTTGCAAAACATGACGTAATTACGTGTGAAACATCGCGAAGCTGAACCTGACAACCATTGAATATGGGGACTGACATTTTCATTAACCCTTTTATTTAGGACATGATGGATTCCTTAGCTGTAGTTCTAGTGTGTCTTGTTTTGAATGTTTTGTTGCATGGTTCACTCCCTTTATATGGCCTTGTGTTTAGTGTCGTATCTTCAAATGTAATCAGGTGCATGTTCCTTTTTTTGTGTGTGCATTTTGCTGGGTTAGGTCACGTGAATATGCAAGTTCATGTTAGAGCTTTGGACGATGATAAACTGTCTTGATCCTTGACGTTTGCCCAACAGGAACTACGTTCTCTCTGTCGGAGGTGCCGCGGGACTGCTCGCACTGTTCTCCACTGGCTCCCAGTGAACACCACATCTCTCTCATGTCACAAAGAGTCCACGTGTCAATAAACTTTTTTTTTTTTATTTTGTATTCTCAGGTCCGATGTATCCTACAGCATAGGTGGAGAGTACTGGGGGGGGGCTCGGGCACACTCCTGGCTGTATCATGCGGGGCAGAAACGTGTACTTGGGTTTCTTTAGAAATTAGCTTAGGCTTTCGCCAACGGACTGTTGGTCATTCTTTCTTGCAGCTATTTCACAGAGGATTGTCTATGCCTGTTCCATTTCTTTCAGGCTTTTAGAATTCGTATCGTTGGACAGCAACAAGTAGAGAGTCTGGCGTCATGGAGGAATAAGTTGCAGGATGACAGAAAATGCAGCAATTGCATGGCTCTTGGGCAAAATAAGTACAAGATGTACACGTACGCATAAAGCCGAAAATTTTGAATGCCGAAAGCCGAAGTTTTGAATGTAACAGAGATTTAATTGTTTTCTTCTTAATACTTTAGTTGCCCCGCCTTCTTTGGGAATATGAACACTCTGCCTGTGTTACAGAATGTCATGCGTGTGCCTTCTACAGTTGTGTACAGTTTAAAGGAGCACTGATGCAAGATATTAGAGGCAAGATGATGTGTGTGGTAGATGTATGTGGAAATTTCAAGGGCAAATCACAGCCTAGAACATATCTAAAATAACTGCGTGCCGCATGACTGTGCAAGATCTGGAGCACCTCTTGATGCCAACATCCATGTGGTATCAACATAAACAAGCTTACATCACAAATTTGTGTAGGCTGGTCAGTGCGGCACCCGCATTGCAGTGTTGCATGGTCGCATGGCCAGCAGTGTTAACACCTTGACGCAGAAACAGCTCCCGCCTAGCTAGGTGCTCTCTGAAACCCAAACTGCTGCTGGGTGCTATAAAAATGTGTCTCAGAGGATAAATGTCATGCGTGAGGTTTATAGTCATTGTAAGCGAGTCTTAAGCTGCCCATTGAAACAAACGAGCAAAAAGGAACAAGGTGCAGAATTTTTGTGTCTGTGCTTCTTTATGACGGGAAGGTCTACAGAGATGAGCAAAGTGTAGTAACCTTGGTCATCTGCAACTAAAGAAATAGTCCCATTCAACAAATGCTGTCATGAAACATGTATATCACTGTGTAAATAAGACTGTGCACTGAAGATTGGTTTAGTGGAGGGTCTTGTGATGGAAATGCAAAACCACATGCTCCAGATCTGTAGAGACCAGTAACCTTGTGTCTACTGCATCGCTGCACAGCGTTGAGCACATATCAGTAACAGAACTTGTCTTATTTAAAAACAGGCTGCCTTTCTTTCAATCTTCATCGGTGAGGTCACCGGTCGGTAAGACAGATGGGGAAAGTACGTGTTGGTTAACTTTTATATGCAAGATGCCGGCACAATCTGAAGCTGTGTCGTACCATAGGTGCACACACATTTTCATTCAGCCCTGTTGCATCTGCAGCATGGGGTACAGCATCAAGTTAGCATAAAACGGCTTGAGCTGTTGATTTGATGGGCATTTGGAAACTGGCCTCTGAGGTGCTCCCACCAGTGAATCGAGTGCCAAGAAACTCGGACACGGCTCTTGTGCGACATTAGGCTAGGGAGAACGCTTCACAACGTTCAGCAAAACCATGGATTCAAGATACACCTGGCTGTTGTTGGACTACTTTGTTTCAACTGCACAAGTTCGGAGCCCACAAGCTTTCTCTCTTACGGAGAAGCAAAGGACAGTGGAATCATGTTGATACACTTTTCACTGAAACGGGAAAATAAAATGCATTATGCAAGAATCGTATTAACCAAAAAGTTTGAAAAAAGGAGGAAAGTATGCATGGTGCTTCAGCTACGCACCTTCATCCAGCCATGTTAAAGTAGCTGGCCAATTTGTGTTGCACTCTTCTTTTTGCCACAAAGACACCACTGCTGTAGCCTCAGTGGATCTGCAATACACCGACGGTGGCTTGTAGGAAAGCTGTTTGAGTTAGTATACTGAAGAATAACTGAATGATGTCTAGATATATTGGTCAAGATCCAATTGGTTAAAAAATGTGATCGTATTGAACATACGAAAATGCATTATTCGCAGGAGGCTTTGGGTGGAAATCAAATTAAAAACATATTGGGTCAAAAAACACATTAGGGAGAACCGCATCAAGGAGATTCCATACCAGGTTTGGTTAGCAACAAAACACGGATTTATGAACGCCACACCGAGCTGGAGCCTTAGATCCTGCAGATGAAAATGTAACAAATGCAAAAGGACCGAATGAAACATTTTTAGTAGAAACATTTTTTTTAACTGTTGCTTTTAACCAAAAATATTTACCTGAAAAGGCTGATTCAGCTTTTTGTGTGGACGTCCTGGAGCGACTGAAGGAACTTTGCTAAAGCGCTCAACAGACGAAGACACCCGACTGTACTCTTAGCAATAAATTTGGAGTTGAACTGAATAAACTTTACCCAATTAATTTTCTCTGACAGGGAAAGTATCTTAGTTTGAAAGTATCAAGGTCAATTTTTGAATTACTGCTTAATGTTCTGAGAAGAGCCTCACAGGGATGCAATTTCGGACTTCCATGCATACATGGAAGTCGCCACCTTCAGCCATTAGGTAGTTAAGAAGCTGCGGGAACTCTTGCTCGACTGAGTGGACAAGAAACGGTGACATCTGATTAGTGTTGGTACATTTTCCAATTCTTTGCATTCCCCTTGGCGCGACAGACAAACGGAGGAAGTTGGGCAAAGCACAAAAGAACGCTATGGGTGAATGACTCTTTGTCATCTCTTGCACGGCCACTCTCAAATGCGATAAAAATTCATGGCAGCAGCAGTCTTTAGTTACTCAGCGCAGTTATGCAGCACAGCCGCCGATACCATTATGGTGCCTACACCCACTCAAAGCCCTTTTTACGATTCCTGGCATCCAAAATAAGAAAAAGTCGTCGCATCTAGCCCTGAAACAGGCCACATTACTTTTCCTGCAAGAGAAGCACAACGGACGCCTTCACATTTACACGGATGGCTCGGTGTCTTCAGTAAGCTCTGCAGGGGTGGTGGTTATTTCCGCGAGGCACATCACAATTAAATTCATGACATCGCATTTGACGCCGTCGACAGCTGCAGAACTTGCGGCCATACGTGCAGCTCTGGAATTTATAGTAAAAGAACCTTCGGGAATTTGGTCTATCTTCTCGGACTCGAGGGCATCTCTTCAATGTCTTATGTCACCCTTTCACCATGGACCTAATGAACAGTTAGTAGCTGAAATAAGGCTTCATCACCAAGCAATCGAAAAACACAGCATTGTGTATCAGTGGATACCAGGTCATTTCATTTTATTATACCCCTCAGGGCCAGAGGCATTACAGAGGGGGAGTGGTAAAAGCACAAAAAGGTAACAAAATAAAAGGAACAAAATATGCAAGTACAATAGAGACGCACTATAAGTTAGAAAGAGCCTGAGTATACAATATTAGCTACAGAATTGCGAAAATGTTTACAGTTATTAATGTTTACAATGTCAGCGGAAAGGCCATTCCAATCGCGAGAGGTTCGTGGTAGAAATGATTGATAAAAGTACTCAGTATTACATGAAGCGAATCCAACTTTGTGACGATGATCAGTGCGATGGGATACATAAGATGGTTGAGGGATGAGTCGATCGCGCAGATCAGGATGATGATACATTTTATGAAACAAGGCAATGCGTGACACTTTTCTGCGCAGTGATAATGATGGGAGGGAAAGGTCTGATTTCATAGAAGTTATGCTGGCGGTGCGACTGTAATTAGCGCGAATGAAACGTACAGAGTTGTTCTGAACCATCTCTAGAGCAGTAATTAAGTTGATATGGGTGGGATCCCACACCGATGTAGCATACTCTAATTTCGATCGGATTAGTGTTTTATAGAGCAGGAGTTTCAAGGAGGAAGGAACGTGATAAAAATTTCGACGAAGATAGCCTAACATGCGGTTAGCTTTGTTAATTAAGTGCTCGATATGAGCAGACCAGTTTAGGTTTGCAGTAATGTAAACACCGAGGTATTTATATGAAGTTACTGATTCTAAATGAATGTTATCAATGTGGTATGGTGGTGGACGGGAAGATTTTCTGGAAACACGCATGACTTTACATTTATTAATATTTAGTTGCATTAGCCATTCACTGCACCAGTCTGCGATTGCGCCAAGATCAGACTGAAGTGAGGCAACATCATTAGAGTTCGTTATCTCTCTAAAAACAACACAGTCATCCGCGAATAGGAGAATATTAGAGTTAACAACGGAAGGAAGATCATTAATATAAATTAGGAATAATAAAGGCCCAAGGACTGAACCTTGAGGAACTCCCGAATAGACATCTGTAAACTCTGAGTTAAAGCCATTAAAAGAAACAAATTGTGAGCGGTTTAAAAGGAAGCACTCAATCCATTTCAGTAAATTAATACCAATATTAAGCGTGTTTAGTTTAAGCAGTAGCAATTTATGACAAACCTTGTCGAATGCCTTAGAAAAATCTAAAAATATGCAGTCAATGATCGATGATCGATCTAGTACTTGATGTAGCGCATGAGTAAAGGTTATTAGCTGAGTTTCACATGAGTAATGTTTTCTAAAACCGTGTTATGCTGAACAGAAAAAAGAGTTGGATTCTAGAAAACCGACAAGGTTAGTGAAAATAATATGCTCACACATTTTACAACATGTGCTGGTTAAGGAAATGGGGCGATAGTTAAGTGGACATGTCTTGCTTCCAGACTTGTGAATTGGAATGACCTTCCCAATTTTCCACTCATTTGGAAGAATGGACTGATCAAGAGACTGTTGAAAAAGTTTAGTTAAGATTAACGCAGCGTAGGCCGAAGTGTTTTTCAAGAACTTGTTACTAATATTATCACAGCCGGGAGCTGAATGAAGGCTAAGTCCACCAATGAGCTCAAGAACACCAAGTGTACTGATTAGTATAGGTGGCATACTTTCAAAGGTATGGCTGTTTGTTGTGGGGTTATTAACAGCAGAATGGGCAGAAAAGTTCTCAGCAAATGTACGGTTAAAAACTGAGGCA